TTGAAAAAGACAACCGTGTCCTCAGCTGCCAGCTCTTTTGGTGTGTGCCTCTGTACCTCTGCACTTTACTTCCGCACCTCCTCTGAGTCTCAGTTCTTTTCTCTTTCCTTCTAGTTGTAGAATTTCCACTCAGCCAGCCTTCCTGTGGTTCTGGATGATGTCTGTTTTAGTTGTATTTTTGAAGTGGTTGTGCGAGGCAGCAATTTCCGGTGTTTACCTATGCCGCCATCTTGGTTTCTCTGTTGTGCAGATTTTTGTGTGGACACTGGTTTTCAACTCATTTGAGTAAATACCAAGGAGCACGATTGCTGGATCATATGGTAAGGGGGTGTTCACTAAGATTCTGCAAAATGACTATATTACTTTGCATTCCCACTAGCAATGTCTGAGGGTTTCTTTTGCTCCACAACCTTGTCAGCATTTGGTGGTGCCAGTGTTCTAGATGTGGCAGTTCTAATGGGTGAGTAGTTGTCCCTTATTTCTAAAATCTAGGCATTGATGATATACATTTCCCTGTAAGCATTGATTTAGTGCATCAAATATGTTTTGTTTTTGTTTTCATTCATCTCAAAGCACTTTAAATTTCCCTTGTGATTTCTTCTTTGACCCATTGTTTATTTAGGAGTGTGTTGTTGTAAATTTCCCTTTGTTATTGAGTTCCAATTTCATTTATTTCTGTTCAGATAATATAATTTGCATGGTTTTAATTCTCTTAAATTTGTTGAGATTTGTTTTATGGGGCATCTTATTTTTGCACAGAAGTTAATTTGATACCTGCTTGACATCTCCCATTGGCTATCTCAAAAAACCTTGAAGATTTTGCACAAAATCACACCCTTGACATCCCACCCCCCATTCACTCCTCTTCCAGTATTTCCATCTCAGTGAAGGTGCCACTATTCCATGCATATCTCTGGCCTGAACCCAAGAATATTTTCTTTATCTTCATCTTCCTTTCTCCATAATTCAAATCTATTGGATTTTACTTTCTTTTTAGATCTCTTAAATCCATTCACTTTTTTCCATTTCCATGGCCAACACCATAGTCCAAGATACAGCTATTTCTTGCAGAAACTATGGTAACTTTCCTTAGTGCAACCTCTCACCATCTTTATTGGAAAACTGAAACTTTTCTGTGAACTGGTTTCCCAATCTCTACCGTTGCTCTCCTCCATTCCCGGTTTTATATGGTAGTCTGTTTCTACTTTGTAAATGTACTGGTTTTATCAACCTTTCGATTATAATCACATTGCATTGGAAAAAAACAACCCCAAGTTCCAACAGGGCCTTGCATAGACAGTCTTACTTCATGACCTCTGAAGCCTCCTGTGGCTCCTTTGCTCTCCATCCTCCAACCTCATTTCTCTGCTTTCAATCCCATGACAGCCCATCCTCCCTCCTGCCACAGCAATTATAATCACATTGCATTAGAAAAAACAACCGCAAATTCCAACAGGGAATTTGCACAGACAGTCTTACTTCATGACCTCTGAAGCCTCCTGTGGCTCCTTTGCTCTCTATCCTCCAGCCTCACTTGTCTGCTTTCAATCCCATGACAGCCCATCCTCCCTCCTGCCACAGCGCCTTTGACCTTTCTGCCCTCCTGCTTCACCTAGGTAAACCCTCTGTATTTTTCACATGTCCTTCAATATTCACTTTATAAAGTAGCTTTCCACTGCAGGCCCTTATCTGGGCCAGTAATGACACATTTGTTTGTGTGGTTAATGTCAGTCACTTGCAAGTTCTGTGGAAATAGAATCCTGTCTGTTTGCTTACTGCAGTAGCCATGGTCAGAGAGGAGCTCAATGAATATTTGTTGGATACAAGGATTTTTCAGGATGGTCACTTAGTAAGTTTTATAATGTCTAATCACTGGGATGTACATCTGGAACTAATATAATGTATGCAAATGTAATTGAAAAATGATAAAAGATAATGG